GCAAACTTACTAAGAACAAGACTACTCACGTAGTACAGCGGACAACCCAAGTGGAACACACGTCAAACTCCTACCAACTCAGGGTTGAAGCCTAGAGTTTCACAATTCACAAAAATTCAGAGATTCTTTGTAAATTGTTAGGGTAGACGGGTGTTATTGATCTGGTGTTTCTACCACCGACATTCATTGTGGCAAACTGAACAGTGGAGAGGAAAGTGAGACGAAAGTAAAGGACAAAACTGTATATCACAAAATTCGGTTTCAACTAAGGCTAACCGAGGTCAGGGTTCGCGTCAGATGTTATTTGAGCGGCGATGCAGGGGGCCAAGAAAAGACCGGACACGATTCCAGGAAAGTTGGACGACGAGCATAGGTGTTCCGACAATGAAGCAATGAGGTTTTCCCTGTCTAGATCGGATGGTTTTATTAACCAGTATTGTGGTTTGTACATTGAATTTGTACGCTATTTTTCCAATGCTTTCGGTTGTTTGTAACCGATGAAAACAGAAATAAAGTACGTGAAATTTGGGAAAATCTACGCACTGCTATTCGGCCAACGCATCAACGCTTGAGGTTTTTCAGCTCATTGTAATGCAGTCTGAAGTACTTGTGCGACTGACCCCCGTGTTCTTTGGTTCGCATTCCGAGCTGTCCAAGGGTTCATACAACGTAAAGGCTTTAGTCTTGTTAACGCAGATAGTCTGCATGTGCTAAATATGTCCAACCACCGTTTACCGGAGAAAACGTTGCTTTCTGTTCGAATTGACTGCCCGATAATGGTTTGCGGGACGGGCCATGACGTGACAACGTCAAATGAAAGCGGCTACTGTTAAACAGAGTACTGTGGGATTTTCACATATTCGTGGCTGGAGCCCATGTGATCCTGGGAGCAGGGGGTTGGAAAACCTGCATAATGACAAGCAAGCGATCCGATTGGCGCGCGTATTGCCATTTCCTAGCCGGATTACCCGGCTAAATTTTGCCTGTCATTGTGTGCTCTGCTTATGTCGGGTGAACTTGGCACAGCATGCTGGGTCGATTCCACCTAAAGCACCTTACTTCGACATAATCCCCAGACATGTTTAATTCGACCTTTTCCTTAAGGACACAAGGCTTTTTTGCACCAACCTTTACCCCCCGGTTACTTTTCGTCCATCTACTGGAGCTTTCTTCTCACAACTACTGAAATCCAGCGCCAGGCTCTACTGTCTACTGCCAGCACATTGCAAAACGTCATGTGACCGACCCCCTAAGCTAACCTTGTACACCATAAGTAAGGCTCGAATAGTTGAACTGTTTGTAATTTGCTCGACATTCCCTCAATTTCGGGTCTTCACTAATATGGCAGCCTTCCCTCATGCGCTCGCTCCATCTGTCAACTTGTCTATTTCGTCTTCGAATCATGCCGTTGAGTAGCTTCCTTCCGGCACGCATGATACAACTATCGTCGTCCATCTGGTGATAGTTGTGCTCGTTCACTATATGTGCTCAATACTAAAACAACTTATTGGGCTAGCCATTTTCGTCGTTGCTGCTGGTGATTCACATTGGAGAGTTGTGTTTAAAGATCGACTGTCAAAAGCCAGATTGAATTTTCTTTGGTGGGAATTAGTCCACTGAACACTTGGTAGCCGAATTTTCGACATCAGGTCCCATATTTTAGAGCCACGCATTCACCTTTCAAGATGTTTTCAAAAGCTGCTGTTTATGATGTCCGGATATCTAGTGGTCAAACAGAACCAAACAGCTTCTTCTTCAGGTCTCTAAGGACCAGACTAACTTTCTGGTGCAGTCCAGCTACTCAACCACTTTCTGACGCTGTACAAAGAATGAAGTCACTGATTAGGAAACCCCTTCATGCTCGTCATTTAGTTGCTTTCGACAGAAATGCCAAACTACTCCGCGGTTTGTTCGTCAAAACCCCAAAGAACGACATGAAAATAATGGCAAGGGACACGGAGTCTTAACTCCGAAATGAATATTTGGATGTTCAAAACAACGATTAACCAAGACGCCGAAATGGAATCTGTCAAGTACCATTCTTCGCTTCAGAACGGTTTGGTAAACAATCGCCTTTCATCCTTTGAGAGTTATGCTTGTGCGCTCGGACCATAGACAACATTGGTATCATCCACTGTCCCGACCAGCAACAAAAAATGGATTAATGGTGGACAGATTGTGGTCAACTCGGACCACAGCAAAACTGACACGAATGTGTCAGCGCGAGCAGTATCATGTGGTTTCCGGAGCTTAGGAAAATCCGTGGTTTCACAGGACCGTAGGACAACCTGTATTTTAGTACTTAACTAAACAAAGATGGATTGCGCAGCTGTCGGATGATGTGCCAGATAACTGCTACTCTGCGACCATGTGCTACTATAGTGTAACTAGTCATGACAGGATGCACTCTGAATGGAAAAATATGGTGTGTTTTGGTAAAACTGTCACCTGGTGTGGAGTACGGAAGTAAGACATCGGAACACACAGAACACTGACTTTGTTGCCAATGATTAATGTGCGCTGGAATGGAAACTGTGACAGAATTACACGTAGTTTGAAATGATATTGAAATAGGTTAACAGTTTAAGATGCTGTCGTATTATTCCTTTTGAATGCAATCGCTCCCCTAACACAGCTCTAACCCAACATCCGCCCGGAGTCTTTGAGACCGCACAAAGGATGAAGTACAGCGGTCCACTTCCCCACTTCTGGGGCCCGATAGTGGTCCTCTCTGGGGAGGAGACGCTTTCTGGCTGGATGAACCGAATATGCAGTTCTACATGCAATATCAAGCAACCAATTTTATGGGAGATCTTTGATGGCTGTTTTTATTTCATGCTTGGTCCTGTCTTAAATATTCTAGCAAAATGGGTAATAAACATGAGATTCTACTATGGACCTGAACGTTACGTCTGTTCGTGAAATCTCATCAATTAAAAAAGGCACCTTGCGGATTTTCCCGCGGGCACCCGACTCTTCATATCTACCAACTGTTGTACATTAGCTGAGGTCGTGTGAAATATAAGTTTCCCTGTCCCTGGCATACACTCGTATTTTCTATCGTGTGACCACAAATTCTCTCATTTGCACATGAGGTAGGTTTTGACAGAAGATTCAGCTGAACTGGTGTGAAAATGAGAGTAGATGTCGAAATCTGTCCAATTTGAGTTCAAGTAGAACCCAAGGTTGACGGAAACTCGAGCTTCGCCTACCTGATGAGCCACAAGAAGGGCGAAATCCGTTGAAGAACTCTCAGGAACCTTATCCAGTTTTATTTGCATGTAGTTTAACAGTCACTCAGGTAGGCGCTAGCGTGTTCGTGTAACATTTGTCCATTTAGGTCTGCGCGTGCGGTCACTTTTTGGTAGTGTGCTACTTAAATCCGGGAGTTGTGGATATCCAGCTACATCTGAGGAAAACGAACGGTTTCGCTCCATTGAACAACAGGATCAAATGATTGAGAGGCAGAGCGAAGAGAGCTGTCTCTGTCCGACAGAAAATCAGAGAAAGCAAGTCTCAAGCACCGTACATTTGTCCCTGTCTGGAAATACTGTCACCATAAAAGATCTTTCCCCTCAGAAGAGAACTAGAGGCTTTATGGAAATTGAACGTCTCGGAGGGACCATTGTTCAGCCCGAATCATGTATCACAACGCAAAGCACGTTTTGTCAAAATATTAATCAAAATGGGTCGAAAATTCGTCAGCTTCGTTTGTCTCACGGACAACTGGACGTTCTGCTGTTCTTGACCATTGGGTATCTCAAGTTCATATGACAGACCATAGAGATTGCAAACCAACTAATTATTTTGTGTAATTTTCATGGAATATTTCATCCGATATTCGGTCGCAGTGTGGGAAAATTGACAAGACTAAACATACTGGATGGTCTGATTCTTTTGACGGTTTCTAAGATCACTGGGTGTCTTGCTGGACTTGACGAAGCTCGTTTTGAGAGCTCTCTATAGGTTCAAACTCATGTAGTTACTGTGACTGAATCAGTATTATTGAAAACGCCACTAAGAGAGCTTGAAAACGGCTTCGTAGCATAATGAACTTCGTCAGCAGCGCGGCACGGTCGCACTTAGTTTAAAACGGACACCATACCAGCGCTACAAACACGGCCGTCAAATTGTGCACCGAGTCCCATGATACTGCTGAATGGGTAAGGTGCACCAATATTTGTGTTGGCTTCATGTGCTTGAAGAAAAAAAAGGCCGTGTCGAAAAGCACAAGACCACATAGCTTTAAATACCTACTTGTAAGATTACAAGGTGGAGCAATACGAATGCTGTTTCAAAGAAAATCTCTTTCCCTCTGCATAACGATCACAATGACATGGACCGTTTCCAGCGCTCTCAACCGATCTGTGATCACTACTTTGTATAAGTTAACATGCAATACAAGTAATCCATAGGGTACCTCCCAGGTTCAACCACGAGGCAGTCGGATACGAGGATGTCATTTCCACGTCTCTCACCGCGGAAGATATCACAGCATCTTGTAGTCAGCCTTGGAGGTGGACGGTACAAGTTAAGCATAATGGAAGAGATGTTGTGATAATAAAGAGCTCCGAGCTTCACAGCGACATCACCCCATCTCATTTCCAAAGTCACTGCTCCCTATACGATGCACCGTGGAATTTCATGTGCTTACCAAAACGTTGAAAACGAACCGACGGGTGCGAAACTTATACATTGTGCTTCTACGCTCATGCAAATTGACTTGGCATTAACGGGAAACTGAACGGAGCTGCAGTTGAGTCCTTCATCTATAATTATCCCCAACTGAAGTTGTACAATGGTTACCAGTTTAGCTTGGACTATCGAAGAGCGTTGTCTCAAAAAAAAGATGGCCTTATACTTGTTTCCACAATTGAAACCAGTCAATCCTGTCGACCGATTCAACAGTTTATACGTCTCTCAGAGCCATAAAAACACGGAACGCCCTACCTCCAACTCAGCAGTAAAACCAAACGGGTTATGAATTGAATGCTTACGTACTTATATTCAGAAATCCGACCGCATGGCAACGAAGTTATTGATAAAATGGACATAAATGAAGTCATCAGCTGTACAATCACAAACGTTGGTCGTTTCGTCGTTTGCGTTCAAATGAATGAAGGCACTGAAAAGTTTATGTAATCGAAATATCAAGGTGCCTACAGTTATCCACACTAAATAACCAGCTACCTAACGGTAAAATACATTTTTCACATTTGACTATCTCGCGGTCGTGTCACTGCTGTGGGCCGCAGGGAACCGAGTTCGTTGAAATCATCCAGTAGTTTCCCGAACGGTGGTGAGGTCGTGGAAGTGGTTGGCAAACCTGGAGGCTTGTCGGTCCGATCGGTGGAATTCTGAAACGAGAGGAAGGAGATTGTGCCGAGTAGGCTGTACACATCAAGCCAGAACAGACCATATTGAGTTTATTTTCACGTAATCCTGAAGCAACCATCAACATGAGCTTCAACATCATCATCAACATCAGAGAGCAAGAAGTAAGATAAGAATGATGCTTCACTATACCATATATATATATATGTATATAT